AAGAGATATTATATATATTAGACCATTTTTAGTATTGGATTTTTTAACTTTTTTTAGCATTTGAGCCAACGCAGTGGTGATATCTCAATGAGAGAAATCAATCCAGAGGGAGATACATCCTCATCCAGCGGCGACACAATAATGATAATGATGGTTGTATAGTAGAATGTAATAATGATAATGATAATGATAAAGATTGTGAAAGTGAAAATAATGACTATACAGAAGATTTTTACTATGATCATTATAATTATTTGGATGATAATTGTAATTATGATGATGATTATGATAGTGATTGTAATGATGATGTTGAAAGTGATGATGAAGTTAATGAAGAAGATGATGACAATGGTAATAATAGAGATACTTTACCTCCTTGGATGAGTATTCAAGAAAAACAATTACGACGAAATAAATATTTTTTAGAATTAATTAATCCAAAGCTTGTAAGGTGTATTTGTGGAAAACAAATTAAATTAGACCATGCATATAGGGAGAAAAATTTGGACTGGTATGAATGTTTATTTCATAATTTTCTGTAACAAAAAATATACTCACTATGTTTTTATATTTTAGTCATGGGGAAGCTAAGGAATGTACAAAAAATATAATAAGCATTTGTAAATTTTTTTCTATTGATAATTCACCAGCTCATTGCCATCAAAAAGCAAAAGCTTGCATTGGTCTTACTAATGAAAAAATCAAAAATTATGTAATGAAAAGTCCATCTGGATTTGGTGGTTCCAAAAGTATTATCAAAGCTGCTCAAACTTTGTTTCCAAATAAATTTTTTGAAGGTAATCCATTTTCTCATACAAGATTAATAAAAGAAGAAAATTTACAACTCCAACAAGATTTATGTATGAATGCTAAGTGGTTATTGGAAAAGGATACTTTAAATGTTAGAAGTACAAGTTGTTTTAAATTTACACCTGATGAATCACAAATCTGTTACAATTGTAAAAAATTAGAAAAGAATAAAAGATTCATAAGTGCTATCAATATGGTATATATATAATTTTTATTATTAATTTCATTCATAATTACTTATTAATAAATACTAAACAATAAAATACAGAAACATGCCACATCATCTACTTTTAAATATATTCCAAAACATTTGTTAAAGAATAAAATCTTTTCTCAACTAATGACAAATGAAAGTTTTCAAAATTTGTTTAGTTTAGCACAATCTGATAAAGAGTCAAATATGTGGGCACAATTAGCTGATTTTGGTAGAAGAGGGTAATAAAACATTTAGAGATCTAGTGGAACTTATGTTACAAATAAAAAAATTAGAAGCAGAAGGTAAAAGTAAGAAAGGGCTTAGATATTCAGAACATTTACATAATTTTTTTAGTCTTCTGTCAAATAGTAGTAGAGAGTATTTAATTTTTAAAAACATGTTGGCTGGCATGGATTTACGTTCTATTTGGTAAGGAACATCTTTTGATTGTTTATAACCATTATTAAGATTATTTATTAAAAGGTTTTTTTGTATTTAATATTTTTAATTATTATAGTTACTTACGTTCAAAAAATGAAGATCTTTTGACAAACCCTAATTTAACCTACGAAAATGTTGCTAGGTTTGCATGTGCTGCTAAAGCTTTAAACTGGGATGGTCCAGTTGTTGCAATGACAGATTGTACAAAAGTTCATTTAAAATTATCATATTCACATTCAAAACATTTGCACAAAGTTTCTAATATAATGAGATTAGATAATGTGTGCTGCTAAAGCTTTAAACTGGGATGGTCCAGTTGTTGCAATGACAGATTGTACAAAAGTTCATTTAAAATTATCATATTCACATTCAAAACATTTGCACAAAGTTTCTAATATAATGAGATTAGATAATGCACATGAAAATATTAATACTAATACTGCAAATCAATTAATCACACAAATTACAAGTAATGATTCCGGACAAACTGTTAGAAGAAGAGTGACTAGGTGGCAAGGCAGAAAAAATATTGAAAATATGTTTAGAACCAATGATAATATGCCAGGTGATATTTTATTTTATTAATTTATTTCATTATTTAATTCATTTAATTTTTTTATTAAGCAAAAAATCCTTGTTAATTTAGGTTTTAATATTGGATGTGCAAATATTTCAGAAATCAATCCATTAGATAGAAATGGTTATTTACTTATTTTTACTAAAAACCAATTATGTATTGCCAAAATTATTGTAATGTATGAATTGAAAGGAGGAAAACACGCTTTAGTAGATAATGTCAATACTATTGATACATTATCATATATTTCTGTTTGTTTGTTTTGTTCATGTTTATGGAAATAGGTTATTTACTAATGATTGTAGTGCAGATGGTAAATTATATGCACATATTACTCCTAAAGAAGTTATATATTATTTTGG